ACACCTTCCCTTAAAGTGATATCATGCTCCTACTCCCTTTGTTGTGGCAATCCCTGAGGTGATTGAAAAACCTCACCGAATTGCTAAATTAATGGCTACACTGAAAGAGGAATGTCCCCTCCCTCCACCAATCTGATCCACTCCAGCTTATGTAGTTCTACCATATAACCTTTCCCCACCTCATGTGTGCTCCTCACCATGATTTTAAGTGATACATTGGTTGTGGAGAGCCTTGCATCTTTCCTTATCACTACTCTTCTCCCTTCCACCACAAGCTGCATCATTAATGCCCCCCAATTGATCTTGGTGTCTCCCAAGGTCTATAGTCATTTCATCCTTAGGATGACATTAGTACTCCCTAAATTCAATGGAAGAAAATCCTCCCTCACCTAAACCCCCTTATATGGTTAACACTACTACTCCATAGATCCCCTGGCCCATCTCCACCTTCCCTTTACTCATCATTACTCCATAACATCTATATCCACTAACTTCACCCCCAATAGGTTCATGACCTGGTTGGAGATGAAATTGTGGGTGACTCCACTGTCAATCAGCACCAACAACTCTCTATCTATTATTTTTCCCTTCACCTTCATGGTATGATTCAGAGTGAATCCTACCACTGAGTTCAGAGAGACCTCCGCCACATCCAAATGCAGCTTGTCCTTCATCTCTCTCTACCTCACTCTCACCTCCCTCCTCAATTTTCTCATCATCATAGACGATGAAAACATGAAGAATTTGGTCCCTACACATGTGCCCTGGGGTATACTTCTCATTGCATCTAAAGCATAGTCCCTTCGCCTTCTTCTCCTGCATCTCCTTCATTGTCAGCCTTTTGAAGTTCCCCACACTTCCTCATACTGGCTTCTTCTTGGGAGTCTCATGAATCTTTCCTGTTGTAACTCCCTTGGGTGCTAAAAGGGTGGTAGTCATTTTGTAAAAGCCACCTAAACCGTTGCCTCCTTCTAGCTCCCCTCTCTTGTTACTTCTAATCCTCCACTAGCTATGTTAGCTTTAAAGCCTCTACTAAGTCACAAGGTCTCATGACCCTCAATGTTGCCCTGATCTCTGATTTGAGTACTTTCATAAATTTTCCCTCCAAAACAGTCTTTGATAGTCGATCCAATCGACTTCCAGGTACTCAAAACTCTCTCGATATTCTTCCACTGAACCTTCCTGCACTAGTGCAAAGAACTATTCATAGAAGTCCCCTCCCTTGCTGATTCAGAAACGTTTCAATAAGAATTCCTTGAACTCCCTCCGACTCCGTATCACGTCTCTCCACTGGTACCAAGACAATGTCTTCCTTCCAAACGTAAGCCAGCAGCCGTCAATTTTTCCTCCTTGGTCAACCCATTAATGGAGAAATTCCTTTCCACCTTATAAATCCACTCATATGCTTCCTCCCCTTCAAAAGTGGGCATCTTCGACTTCCGTACCTTTGGATCTCCCCCATTCCCCCTGAATCCTCCATAATTTTCCCTTTCCCAAGTGTTTGGTCCTCCCCAAGTGTCTCAATCCTCCCTTCCATGCTCATACCCATACCCCTCTTCACTTTCTCCTCTTCTCCCTTCAAAATCAGCACCCCTCCTATCATAATCCACCTCTTTTCTTTCCCAATCATCACCCCTTGGTTCATGCCCTCAATATTCACGTCTCTTTCCATACCTCCCACATCTCTCCTCAAGGATCTCCACTCATTTTCCCTCCTACGCATTTCAAAATTCGTATGTGTTCCTACTGGACCCCTTGCCTCCAATGCCGTCGTTTGATTTTGATTTGTTAATATCTTCTTCACCATCTAGTGGAGATCCAAAACTTGACCTTCAATGGCTGAAATTCAATCATCCACCGTTGCTTTCATTTGACTCATCTCCTCTTCAAGGTGTTCTTCCAACACATCTACTTTCTTGGCCGCCATCGATACCAAAATCTTTGTAGACTCAAAAATCTAAATTTCAACCATTAAAAACAGCAAATAGCCCCTCTTCCGGCTAAAAAATAGCAGCTGGTTTTCACAAAAAAAAAAAACCAAAACAGTCCCAAAATCTTCTATGATACCAATTTGTAAGGAAATACTTGAAGATCTTGAGTAAACCCTAACAATAGTGGCAAAAACAGCGAGAACGATCCACGATTCTATGGAAAAACTAAGGTTTAAAATTGCGTAAATAAGTCTCGAGGCGGTTTTCGTTCGTGAGGCGAGGCGTAAGCCTCGAGGCGATCTGAGGCGTAAGCCTCACGGACGCAGAATTACATAAATGAGAATTTAAGGATTTTAGCAAGTAAATAATAGCAAGATTCTATCATACAATAAAAACATCTAAATTATATATGAAAATAGTAGAAAGTAGGAAAATAGATGCAATAAAATCATGTCCCAAAGTACAAAATCACAAAATATTAGTTTAACAAAATTCCAAAAGTACAAAGAACATATAAAATGCAATCATATCTCATCACTAAATGGGTCTTCAAGGGAATCTTCTTCTCCAATTGTATCTATGAATGTCATATCATCATCATCTTCAATATGACTCACTTTTCTCTTCCTTGTTCAATAAGAGAAAAGATTATTATCATGTTAATTGCTCACTTGATATAAATATAATGCAATAACATATAAGAAGTTGTAGAATACCTTTACTTGATTGTTGTGCTGCAGAGCTACTGGATGTGTGTGGTGTGGTACTAGTGGATGTGCCCACTTGATCTGCTTCGCCCCTCAAGACATCCACACTTAGATCCTCTAGCTGTTAATTATGATAATGACAAATATGTCTCATCATCTATGAATCACTCATTATTAGATGACACATCATCACACACCAACGGGTCCTCATCATCCTTCAACCCCTTATTCCTCAACCTCCTATCTTTTAACCTCTTGTTGTCCATAATATATACGAAGAAGTTCATTATGAGTGTTGATAGCCGATTTCCTCTCTTTGTTTGCACTTGACGACTATATGTACTCCAGTTTCGCTAACACCCAGAAGAAGAACAAGTGAGGCCTAACACTCTTACAACAAAACTCTGTAACTCAGGTGTGAAATCACCAAATTGGATCCACCATTCAACTATTTTCAAGAAGAAAAAAGATGAGAGCATGATAAGTGTTCCTTCATGCGGGTAACTCCTCCCTTCACCACTTTTTCGCAAAAATTACATTTCAAATAAACATAACTCTTCTCTCCGCCGCCTATGTCAACTTGTACACTATATTTCCAAGAAGGGTCCCTCCGCAATAACGTATTCGCCTTTTCCTTGCCTCTAACCATGTTCCCTAATGCAAGAATCCAAAAACACAAAATAATTCAAAAAATCAAAAACCTTAGATTTTCTTTTACTTGAAAAATCTAACCAAAAACTAAAAAAAATAGCTAAAATCGATTGTGGACTTCTCCTAGAAGGCGGCCGAACGCTTCAAGTTCACCGTAGAGAGGCGGCGCTGGCGGGAGAGGCGACGGGAAGGGAGGCCGACCATGCGGGATCCTCTCGGTTTCGCGAACAGAGGCTTACAGGAGGCGATTTTTCGGGAATAACCTGGAGCCTAACGGGTTAAGGGAAGAATATGGGTCATTTTAAGTAGGTGGGGCTGATTGGATGAGGCGTACGCCTCACCTATAATTGTGCAATTGAGACGCGCCTCAAGCAAGGTGAGGCGTACGCCTCTACCAGAGTGAAAATTGCGTAAGCCTCGAGGCGTTTTTGGGGAGAATTGCACAGAGGCGCGCCTCTTGTTGTGCAATTTTAAACAGAGGGAAAAAACAAAAAAATAGTCGTTCTTAGTACAATAATCAAAGATAGCAGCGCAAAAATACCAAGATACAATTAATCCTCAATTCGAGAGAAGGAACTATCTCTCCCAATCCCTAAATACCTTTAGAGCCCAAGACACCAAATTCCAAGGACGAAAACAGCCACAACAATTTGTAGAACCTTAACCTTAATCCTCTCTTCCTATTTAAAACATACAATTAAACCTCCTTTAAAAAAATACAATTAAACCTCCTTAAAAAAACAAGTAAACCTTCTTAGTCCTAGCCACCCCCTCCCTTCCGACATAAATTCATGACTGGGACCCACCCATGTATGGGCGGCAAAATCAAGAGAGCAGACCAAGCTTGTCCGCCTCTTATACACCTGGGCCGACCCCTTGCCAAGGGCGAGCTGGACTGATCTGGGTGTAACAACTTAATGATCAAAATAGCACACAACAATATAAAAAATAGCAAACTTACTGCAAAAATAAAACCAAAAGGGTTGTATTTACTTATCTCTGAGCAAAGAAAGTCAAGATACAAGTTGATTCACTATTCGAGATGTGAATCGTCTCTACTACAATTCCTAACAACCACTAGGAACCCGAACACCCAACAAAAACTGTTGTAGCAAATAAAACTCATCATAAATCCTAACCCTCCACAATTTTCCCACTTAAACAACCCAAATTCCCTAATAAATGCCCCTTATATCTTTTCCAAAGCTCTCGTCCCCAAATCCTCTTCTCCTATACATTATAAAGCAAGTCCTGAGCCCCACAGGGGAGATAAAAGGTTCTTGATATGCTGCTTGAGAACTGGTCCAGTTCGCATGGGAGGGTGGGTTGCCCGCCTAGGAAGTTGGGGCTGCCCGCCTGAGCTGCTGTGCTGCGGCTGTTGGGCCATCTCCTGTGGCGAGAGAACCACCACAGCATCCTTTTTCTCAAATTATCATGTTATTTTTTTCTTTCATATATTTTGCTTAATACTTTATCTTGTGGTAGTTATTTGTAATTGGTCATTGTTGAATCAATCTCATTGGCTGGTTACAAAATTTTCTTTCAAATTAAAAAAAAAAAAATCATCATTATTTTGCTAAAAAATGAAACTTTTTCTTAACAGAAACACTTGGTTGTTCATCCAACTATATTCTCAATTTACATCAACAAAAATGGGTATTAATCCATCTGGTGACCGAAGATTTTATAAAGCATTCGCATGGCACCAGATAACAAAGAAACTAAATCATACCTGCTTTTGTTCAAGTAGGGAAAGTTTTGTAAGTAGATGTTCCATTTCTTTCCAAAGGTCTTCATGCTCTTCAACTTCAATTTGATCCTTAGGAGTTGTAGACCATATAAAATCTTCTTTCCCCTCACGAAGTGTATTTTCTGGTTGAGCCCTTTGCTGAAACTTAACTTCCATTTCAGCTTTAATGCTTCCCATGCATTCCTGTATTAATTCCATACATTCTAGTGCACTAAGTAGCTTCTTCCTGTGAGATGACTTCTTTTGATAATCACAATGTGAATATATTCTTTTCTTATCTTTAAGCTTTGGTCTACCCCTTCTTCTAGGCCCTTCGCCTAAACCATGGTCCTTCAGCATATCCTGTGAGTTAGAAGAAAGTTCACAGATTTCTTCCGCGTCCAATCTACCTGGATTTTTTGAGTTAACTTTAAAATTTTCATCTGATAATTTCTTTCTTGCAGAAGTTCGTAAAGGTATTGCACATTCAACATTGCCTGAACTCGTCTTCACATAACAAAACTCAGAATTATCCCAGTACTGTTCGTCACAAGCCAATTGTTTCCTTGTTCTATGCTCTAACTGAACTACATTTGGCACTTCATTCATCTTTGACTTGTGATCAAAATTTGTTGATGAGTAGCTTGTGGAATGATCAGGTTGAATCAGGTCACCTGATCCATGCTCCCATGGCCTATTTTGAGACTCAGTTGAAGGTTCTTCATGGATTTCATCTGATTCAAATTTATTAAAATTTTCATCTGACAAATTCTTTCTTGTTGACGTTTGTAAAGGTGCAGCACAATCAGCATTACCTGAACTACTCGTTACATGACAAAACTCATAATCATCGAAGTCTTGTTCTTCAACTGTCAACGAAATTGACCGTTTCTGTTTTCTGTGCTCCAACTGGTCTACATCTCGAGCCCTATTCCTCTTTGAGTTATGAACAAAGTTAGTTGAAGAGTAGCTTCTGAGACAATCAGGCTGTATCAGCTTGCCTACTCCATGCTCCTTTAGCCTATTCTGTGGCTTAGTGAGATTTTCTTCAGAGATTTCTTCCAAATCCCGTCTGAGTGGATTTTGTGACTGAGCTTCTTTAAAATTTTCATCTGAAAATTTCTTTCTTGCTGAAGTTTGTACCTGTGCGGCACATTCAACATTGCCTGAAACCTTATTTGCATGACAAAAATCATAATTATCTGAGTACTTTTCAACTATCAATGAAGCAGATTTCTTCTGTTTCCCGTTATCCATTCGGTCTACATCTGGTTCCCTGTTCCTTTTCAAGTTATAATCAAATGTAGTTGACGAATAGCTTGTGAAATGATCAGGTTGTATCTTTTGATGCTTATATATTCTGTTTTCCAACCAGTCTGCATGTCGTGCTCTAGACCTCTTTGAGTTGTAATGAAAATTAGATGAGTAGCTTAAACGATCAGGTTGTATCTTTTGACGCCTTGATCGTCTCAGACTCTTTCTGTCATAGATTACTTCAATATCTGATTCACTGTCCACCTTCTTTCTTTCTTTCCTTTCTTGGTTAGTATCAGCCCTTAAAGGACTTTCTGCTTCCATGCTTCTACTCGAAACAATGGGCTTAATTTTTTTGGCCAGTGGGCGTGCATGTTCAGTCAACAGCTTGAAATGCATGATATTTATGTTCTCGTCAGAGTTTGGAGGATCAACAGACTTCTGTTCCCTTTCCAAAATTTGGTAAACCAGATTTCTCTGTACTGATTTAATATGAAAACGCATTCCTTTCAAAACAGAGAGGACAACTAGCCATGAAATTTGGGAAGAAAACAGGCCACTAAGTAATTTACTTCTGCTATATGCAGTGCAGTCCTTTGAACACCTCCATCGGTAGAATCCATCTACACAAAGTTCATCATTGAGCTTTTGAAGTATGGCAATCTTGTCAATTGTGACGGTTTCAGTTCTATCAAAATGTATATTCTTTGCAACGCCATTTGTTGCCCGTTCTTTGTAGAGCATGACAGAAAATAGGCAAGAACATTCACCTTCATGAGGGCTGTAACTTTTAGATACTATTTTTGCATCATACCACCTTGGCAACTGCAAGTTAGCAACAAAGTGTATTCAAATTACACAGTAAGTCTTAGATTCATCTAATCTAATAAAAAGAAGACGTTCAAAACTATAACAGCAAGTCATAGATTCATCTAAAAATGTGGGAGAATAAAAACTAATTAAAGTATAAGTTCCAGAGAGTACTAAAATATCTCAGGTTGAATTAACATACAGTTTGTTGTGCTTCATGGTCTGTACTTTCTGAGATCCAACAAGCTGAAAGTACACATACATCAGCTCCAACTTTTAGAAGGTTTAAGCAATCACAAGCATTTGCTTTTCTAGAGCGTAGCCGGATGTAGTCCCCACAAATTTCCTCCTCTACAGTTAACCCCTCGTGGTGAATGCAGACAAAAGTTTTTCCATTTATGATACTCACAAACTCTGTTCCATGCCATGATCCCCGGTAGTAAGTCTCAAATGCTGAAAATACCAGAGAATAGTGAGAAAAACATGCAGAGTACAAGGCCTAAACTTTAGTAAGTTAAGGGAAAAAAGGTGGAAACTAAGATGTTTGTAAGGTACCAACTGAAAAGCCTGTATTATAAACTCTATATTCAAGTTATAAACTGTCATGCTGGCTTCAAGCCCAGATAAAACAGATTGAGAGATAAAGGTTATATAAAGAAACAATATTAAAACTTATGCCAACATATATAAAATGAACCCAAATTTTTATTTTATTGTGCTAAGGCATTTCACGAAAGCATGACCTAATTCATTTGTGGTGAAAAATGGGCAAGAGTTTAACAGGACATCACCTGCTAGTGAACCACCACAATTTAACCAGGTTTAGGTAAATACAAGTGTTGGCTATGACATCACTCACAAGTGACACATCATTACTTAAATTAATTATGATGAAAAATTAACCAATGGTTTGTTAGAGTTATTAGATCATTAGATTACTATATTTAAATTATCATAAGTGATTAATATTTATCAAAAAATTATGGAATTTATTATTGTAATTTATAATCATTATAGTTGATATTCTCCTTTACTATACTTAATATTCTATTCTATTGCGTCTTTCTAGGCATATTTGTACTAGCATTAGGATCATTTAAATAAAGAAGTGGCTTTATTATAATTTTTGTCATGGAACAAAGTACCACAACTCAGTCAATCTTCATCTTTTTTCTGTTGAAGATCTTGTCTATCATCTTGGTTTAGCTCAACGAAGAGAGACTTGCCTTCGCCTCCTGCCTTGAACTTCCTTCAGTGGAGAGGATCCCATAAGGATTCTATGGGGATCCCATGACATTGTCTCCATTTCTTATCGTTTGTGCTCCACCCGCCCATGTCTCGCCAACCCATGATTCAATCACACCTCACTCATGATTCCCCCACGCCTCACAACAAACCTCTCACCTTATCACAGTTCACCAGCCCATGCTTCACTTGGTTAGGAACCATTTATATCGCTGATATGCTACTTCGCCCACGCACAACCCCCTCATGCATTGCCGCCCATGGCCACTAACACTTGACACCAAACATCTTCACCTCTCCTAGCATTCACATCACCACCCTTAGCCTCATCTTTGTTCGACAAATAATGATTCATCTTAGTCTCATGTTTGATGATCTTGTGAGGATCCCATGAAGTCCCATAAGGATCCTATCTATCGTGACGATTCCATCACATTCAATCTAAAAAAAGGTTGGGTCAACATCAATCTATCAATTATTCACAATTTTCTTAAAGAATACCTCATTCGAGTGTTCATTGGCTCGGATTATCAATTTCTAAAAGTCGCAAAAAGTTCTTGGATTGAAACTCTTTGTTTTTCTTGCATTATACCAACTCTCGATGGTCCTTGTTGTAACATCTTGAGTTTGTGGGTGGGTGTTAAATTTATCATAAGTATTTGGTTATCATATTAATATTATCAAATGTGCTTAATATTTATTAGAAATTGATAGTATTTATTATTATAATATATCCTTATTATGCATAATATTCTCCATTATCATACTTTCCTTATTATTCTACACTTGCCTTTATATAGGTGTGTTTGTAATAGCATTAAGATCATTCAAATAAAAATGTAGCTTTCTTTATAATTTTGGTCATGATTGACAGTATTTAAAACTAAGATAAAATTATCTGCATAGAATGTTGAGACTTCAAATTTGAGAATAAGACAGACCTCTGTTTAAAATTGCGCAATAAGAGGCGCGCCTCTGCGCAATTCTTGCAAAAAATGCCTCGAGGCGTGCGCAATTGCTGGCATTGTTGAGGCGTACGCCTCACATTGGCTGAGGCGCGCCTCTGTTGCGCAATTGCGCAATTTTGAGGGAGGCGTACGCCTCAGCCAAAAGGCCCCACCTACTTAAAATGACTCCTCCTTTTCCCCCACACCCGATCGGCCCACTTGATTCCCGAATTGTTCCGCCCGTAAGCTCCAGATCGCGAAAAACTGAGGAGCCCGTCCGGTTGGCCAACCTTTCCGCCGCCTCTCCCGCCGGCACCGCCTCTCTCCGGCGAAGTTGAAGTGTCCGGCCGCCTTGTAGGAGAAGTCCACAAAGGATTTTAGGTTTTTTTTTTTACTTTTTGGTTAGATTTTTGAAGTGAAAGAAATTTTAGGGTTTTAGATTTTTGGAATTTTTTGTGTAATTTTCGATTCTTTCATTAG